ATATGGAGAAACAATTATTTCCTCATTAAACATTAGAAACATCTATTTCGAAATTTTTGCTCTTTACACACAATGACACATAAAATTTAATATTATTAATTTCTCTCTTAAATCATAAAAATAATTTTAAATTGTAAAAAAATGGAGAGATATAAAAAGACCTACCATATTTTATAAATCTTTTAATTAGTTTTTGAACTTACATTAATTATGTGCTAATTACTACTATTAATTTAGACAATTGTGTTCTCATTATCCCAATGTAGATTTTATCAGAGAAAAGCAGTTCAAGTATTAATCCCATCTTTGTTGCAATGGTCCCCTCAATCTCCCAGCATCGGGCAGAGTGATAATCGGTAACTATCGGTTCGGTAACTGCGTGCGGTCGCGACTACTACCAATAGCTACCTCCGTAGCCAAGCGAGCTGTTAGGTAGGTGGACCGGGCTGCTTTCGATGGAGGGTTGGCGGATAACATGCACCATGATATCGTGTGTAAAATTAGTGGCGCAGGCGCCCCGCGTGAATTCTCTATCCTACCTCCACCTCCTACTCTTTATCCTATCTTCCGCTCCGTCGTTGGGTTCCTGATACCGTTCGCTCGCTCAGTCAGTGGCCGTCGTTCGAGGTTGGTCTCGACGAAGCGCAACGAATTTGACTGCGTTGATTCTTCCGGTTCCGTTTGGTACCCGATACCATTCTTCGAGTTGACGATTCCTTGGACGAGTCTATGACGTTTTAATCTCTCTCATCGAAGGCGACGAGTGCGGAGGAACGAGACGCGCGCCTTGGTCCTCGGCGGTCGTTCTCTGGTCGGATTCTGATCCGATACGCTTTATCCAGGTTCCATCTGATCCGCGATATTGAACTACAGTATATCTGTCGATTCTCGGCACTGTAGGACATCGCGGATAGACGCGAGATCAATCTCGATCTTTTTACTCGTTAAACGTTATTCGTTTCGAGAAGATCCGTTTGTTTCTTAACGTCTGTCCGTTCATCGTACCGATCTCGGGTCGAGACGACAACGCGCTCCACGTGCGGATCTCTCGATAGACCGACTAGGTCAGTTTCGTTCTGTTCACCGCGTCGCGAGATCCATCGTACAAAGTGGAGGTAAAGAAAGTTTCCATCAAATTTTGATATTTTTCCTTGTTCCCTCTTTTATTTTTGTTTGATTAAATCCTCAGTCGTCGCGTCGGATGGAAAATCCATGTTGCGCGCGAACTCGCTTATCATGAATTCCGCTACGAATCCTCCCCGGGGAGAGTCGCTCGATGCCATCCGCGCTCGTAAATTACTTTTTCACGTCTCAAGTAGCTATATCATATCTCGAAATTTGGAGGATTGGTCTACAGTCTACATTGTAATATGTGAATATTTTATTGCAATTTGATTTCATCGTTAGAAATTACGGGTCTGTACGTTAAGATCGTATCAGCTAAATGCAATCCTGGCAACGAACATATCGAAATTATTCCAATGTTGAGACATCTTCATCTGCATTCTAACTTTTTATCTAATTACGGGATTATTTGTTATATAAATCTATATATAGTACTCTAAATAAAAGAAAAAATCGTAGACATAATTTCAATATAAAATAATTTATTTTTTTATATTTTTTATTCTATATACATCTAAAATTTATTTTAAAAATATATTTAATTAATGTTTTTTTATATGTTTTTATTGTATATTTTTAAAATTAATTTTAATTTATATGTTAAATCAAGCATTTTATGTATTTTTATCAAGCATTCCCTCTTTCTCTCGTTTTTATTATTGAATTTGTGAAATATAAGCTAAATTTATTTGGTAACTATTATTAAATATGTATACAAATATATGTATATGCCATTTTTAAAACAAAATATATATTTCTGTATATTTTGTAATATCTTAGCTACAGCTACATTTAGTGAAAGTTGGTAATAGATCCAGATCGAGAGATTGCAGCATGATAGATTTTTAATATATTAAATTCTAATTATAGAAATCGTTGTTGGTTATAGCGCCGTAAGGAACGTGGACGGATCGCCGTGGAGAGCGTCCACGTGGTGGAGACGGCCAGCCTTGGAAGTGGTAGCACCGGAAGTGGCGGAGGCAATGGTGTTGGCGATGCATCGGGTGGCGGCGACGCGAGCAGCGGAGGCGGCGGAATACCATCCGGACTACCCTTCCAAGTGGGATATCGAGAAGCTGGCCAAGAATACACGCTCTATCTACTCGCCGCTCGCGAACAGGATCGCGCCGAATGGATACGTGCCATACGCGCTGGTAAGCCTTTTTTTTATTCCTTTCTTTTTTTTCATCCCACTGTCCTTTTTTTCCCTCTCTCGCATTGACATTCAATGCGGGCTCGTGCAAATATCGCGCTCGTATACAAGCTTCTTACGACATGAAAGATGCGTATTATCTTTGCTATTTATGATATTTATCTTGATATCTTATGATATATGTTGAACGCATTAATATTGATAATCCTTTCGGTCTCAAGCTTTATTGCAGATGAAAAGAAATTTGATATTGTATATTTTATAAATACAAGTATAAATTCTCATAGATGTGACATGATTTTTATAATAATTTATAAAAGTCGCATTAAATATAGCATAGTGCGCGTGTATGCATGCATATGAATTTTAAATATTAATTTTTCTTAAAATATAAATTAAAATTTATGACTGAAAAAGTTGAATCAATATTATATTTCGTGGGATAAATTCTAAGGTATCTTGCGCATTCATATAAAAAAGTAATACGATCTATCACATTAAAGGCACATGAATATACTATTATTAAGAAACAAAAGTTAGCGGGATACTTGTTTGTAGTGTGCAGTGAGAATTCGGGCTTGAGCGGGCGTTACCACGCCGGTCTCTGGAGCGGGAAACGTTGGTCTTGCTGCCGATTATCGACACGTTCCGCCGAAGGCTGCGACACTTGCAGTTCCTGGTCCGCGAAATCTGCTACGAACGCCACGAATCCGTCCTCAACGACTACATCGGTTTCGACAACATCGACATCTGTGCCCGGCAGTACCATTAACAACACCATCTCGACGACCACCGTCACATCTGATCATCGTGCACAATTAACGAACGCTGAGGCGAATAATAATCCGATCATCCAAACCCAGGCCCGTTCAACGATCGGTTCGTACTTTATATTTATTGCATGCTTTTGTCTTTGTCTTTTACAAAGCTCACTGAGATTTTAATTGGTCCACTGGCGAATCGATATATTTGTCGTTTTAATATCAACATGAGAGTTCCGTTATTATCGTATCGTTTAATAGCTAGGATTTGTTAATTGACGCAATCGATAGAAAGAATCAATTCGGGAGAGCGTTATTTATTTGCATTGG